AGGGCTTGGGTTTTAAGTTCACTGAGATAACCTTTTCAATGATAGTTAGAATAGATAATAGCTTTTTTTTCTTTTCTATTTGTCAAAAAATTTCCTTTTTATTTCTTTTTCCCCTTGTGTAATTTCTATAAGAGGGAATGACACAATTTGGATTTATGGTTATGACTGTGAAAGTGATCTGCAGGTGCTGATCCTATCGGAAATTTGAAATTTTAATCCCATCCTTTAGAGGAACAATACATCATCCCCATAAATTGTATCTAGAGACTTCGGCTAAAGACAAGTGAGTTGGATTGGGGAAATTTGTATTTTGCATATATTCTTATGCATGTAATGGTTCTTTATGATTTAATAAATAAATGACACCAATCTGATTGCAGGATTAAAAAAAAAAAAAAACAAGCTGGCCAGTAGATAGTTTTCTATCTTAAATAGTTTAAAGAATAGATAGAGCTGTACTATATATTTAAAAATGTTTAATACAATATTTAATAAATAAAATATATACCAATTATTATAGAGGATGATGATAAATATCAGAATGGTTATGTTTTATTTATTTATTTATTTATTTATTTTTGTTTATACATAGTATAATTTATTTAATTACATGTTCTTTTCACCCTTCCCTATTATTGTATTTATAAGCAGTTATATTATTAACACATGATTTATTTATTAAAATGATAGCTGAAAAAAATAAAGAATTAACGGATTACATGGCGTATGACATATACATTAGTGGATAAACAGAGGTTAGTGAAATGTGACATCATTTCACTCAGTATTACCTCCGTTTATCCACCACCTAAAAAAATTATTCTAAGGTATAGTCTACCGAGACAAGACAGATTACGTAATTAAATTCCCTAATATTATTGGACGATTTATATAAACCGATAAGTTTTCCTAAAAAATTACATGAATTTTCTTGTCTCGGTAGGAATTTTCTTGTCTCAGTAGGAATTTTTTTGTCTCGGTAGGATTTTGATTGACATTGAATACGGTATATTTTCCTAAATTTATAAATTATATTGTATCGATATTATTTTAGATTATAATTGGGAATTTTGAAAATTTCTATTTTCTTACGAGATCAGAGCAGATTAAGCCATAATTGGAAATTTTGAAAATTTCTATTTTTTCGTGAGATCGGGGTGAATTTAAATAGAAATTTTGAAAATTTCTATTTTTTTCGTGAGATCGGGGTGAATTTAGAAATTTTAAACTTTTATATTATTTTTTATACGATCGGAATTATATTATCTGAGTTATAAATTTATATATATAGAGTGGTGGTTAGATCTTTTTGAATAAAAAAAAATTATTTCAATTAATCAGCATTATATCGTATACAAATTTGATAAAAATGTCAGTTGAATTGACACGTGAATTGACACGTCGTAAACGACGAGAAGTGCCGCTTATCGATCTCAGTGATCAGGATGAATTAGAATCTGTTATGGAAAAATCGGATTCATATTTTCTACAAAAAATTCGTACGATTTGGAATGATATTTTGGAATGGGATTCAAGCAATTTTTTCAATCTTTTTTTTATATCTTTTTATAATTCTCTGTTTATTTTATTACTTCTTTGGATTTATTTTAATCTTAATTCCCCTGTTCAATTGAATTTTTTTATCAATTTTTCTAACACAACTGATAATTTTACGAATTCATTTTTGAATGCGTTTAATGAATTTTCTCATGTTCTAACGCATATCCATCAATCTCATTTTTTTAATACAACTTTTGCTGGATAATATTTTTTAGAGTTTATTGAATGTTTCTATACTTTGTTATCTTCATCGGAATAAAATTATTTTTATTATGAAGCTTATCCATTTTTGGAAATTTTGAAATACTTACTTTAAAAAAAATAAACATATAATAATGAAATATAAAAAGGGTTCTTGAAGTCTTTCTGAATGTTAAGTCTGAGATGAATATTACATCCAAAACGAGATTTAGGTGTTTTAATTTTACTCTCTATGAACATGTGGATATATCATTTTTAAAAATTATAGAAAATATACATCAGGATAATAATAATCCGATTCAGTATATTATTTTTCAATTGGAATTTAATCATAATGCTTCGGGTTCAGAGGATCGTGCTCATATGCAAGGATTTGCAATTTTAAAGGATCAGATGAGAATTGGAAAATATACTCAGACTAACAAGTCTGGAATTAAAGGTTTATTTGAGTCAAATAGCATTCATATAAATTTTGCGAATGGGACACCGGAACAGTGTAGAGATTATTGTAGTAAGAAATATAATCGCTGTAAGGATCATAATGGTTGTAAATGCGATTATTTTAATTTAGAGAAGATGTGTGATAAGTGTGATGAGAATTGTACGAGAACCCTAGCACGTGTATGTGATGTAAATAAAAATGACACTAATTCTGGACCTTGGGAGTTTGGAGATATATCGGTCAGATCTAATAATCAAGTAGGTAATAATATTAATAAATATACGAAGAATATGAAATCGTTGGAAATAGAATATATGAAAGAAGCTATAAATAAAATTATAAAAGGAGAAAATGTTGATAAAACGATTGTAGAATATGCGCCTATGATCCTATCACGCGTTACTATTAGTATAGATAGGATTAAAAAGGCAGTGGATAATATTGATAGTAAATTTATGGAAAGGTGTTGGAAGCCGTGTAATATTTATATATTTGGAACTCCCGGAACGGGAAAGACTTTTTGGAGTAGTATAGTTTTTCCTAATGCATATAAAAAATCTATGGATGAAGATTGGAAATGGTGGGAAAATTATAATAATAATCATATTATTATTATTAATGAGATGGAATGAGGATCGGCCCCATGGAAAAATTTACTCAACATTCTTGATCGAGTTTCGTTAAGGGTACAAGTGAAAAATTCATCACGTGAATATATTGGAATGTATCAAGTTTTTACTTCAAATTCTGGATTACGTGAATTATATGATTATTGGGAGGATTTGCCATTTTACGTAAGATCAAATGGGTATAGAATTCCAAATAGAAAATATTATTCAGCTGTTGAAAGAAGATTCGATTTTGTTGTTGAATATCGTAGATATAGAGATGATAATATACCTGTATGTAGTGGAGAATGTGTATGTTGTAAGGTGCGAAGGATTTTTCATAAGGGATCTAAGGAAAAATTTCAAAAATTAGAATTTGATGTTGAGTTTAACGAGGGCGTTACTCAGGAATACGTGTCAAGAATAGTTAAAAAATTAAGTAAAAAGGGTAAATTATTAAAAATGGGCAATAAGATTATTTGGAGGGAGAATTTTGAAAGCAATAATAGATATGTAATCACTGACTCGAATAGTGATGATGGGTTAGTTTCGGATTTTATTACATATCCTGAAATTATTAAAAAGCTTAATGAGAGGGTTGTTGATTTTGATGATATTGAAATTATCGAAGAGATTGATATTTGCGAATTAGGTGGTGAGTCGAGTGGGTCTAAAAAAAGAGATTACGAGAATGATAATAATTTTAACTTAAAGAGACAGAAGATTTCTGATGTAATTAATACCTATGATGATGATATCTTTGAGAATTTAGATGATGTGTAATTCTATAGTTACGTGATATTTTTAATAAATTAATAAGTATTATCACATGATCATAATGTTGTATAAATATGTTATATGAAATTGTTAAAATATTAATGGTAAATTTTTAAAGCAAAAATATTTTTCGTTTAATAATTTTATTTGTCTTTGTTTTTATTTTAATTTTTGGTTGAAAAAAATATAAATATCTGTAAATTTTCTTATAGTTAATTAAATTTTTTTATCAAAGTAGATTAAGGTATATTTTGTTATATTTTGTTTTATCATGTTTATTAATATTATTGAGAATATATATATTTTTTTAAATAAATAAAATAATATTTAATTGTAGTATGAATTCCACATCTGAACAGAAAATTACAAATGTTATGATTGGAAATAAAGATGGTACTATCCCTTTAGGGATTATTCAAATTCTTAAAGATGTGATTGATAAAGAAAAAATTGAACATATGGAGGAGATGGTTAAACAAGAGGAAGAACGTAAATATTTTTTAAAAATTATTGAAAATTTGAATAATGATATTAAAAAAGAAAGGGATAAGAAAGATGATATGATTGAATGTGTGATGGAGAGAAATAGATTTATATTAGAAAGAGAAAGAGCTAATTTAATTAATATTTCAAATATTTTGATGATTATTTCAAATATTCTTATTATTATTTCAATTTTTAAATGAATATATATATACGGTCAAACTCCTCTTAATGCAAGAGGTCGGGACCATAGTGCAAAATTTGCAAAAATATGCATTAAGAGGAGTTTTGCATTAAGAGATTAAGTCCCAATCAAAAATTCAAAATTTATTTTATGCAATAAGAGGAGTTTTATATAGTGTATGCATTAAGAGGAGTTTGCACTAAGAGGAGTTTGACTGTATATATGATATAGGGTATGATGATATTTTGGTAAACATCTGTTTTCTGATAATTTATAAATAAATCGAGAGAAAATTTTAAAATTCAAATAAAAAATATTAACAAATAATACGAGGTGATTGATTCGAATCTATATGTTATTACTATTTATTTATAATCTGATCCTTATGATGCATATTATACAATTTTATATTTGTAATGATTATGATGTCTGTGATACGTATCGCATAATTTTATAATTACGTATATATGATTCTATAATTTATATAAATTAAGTGATTATTTCGTATTTTTCTTTTTTTTTCCTTTCGTAATGATGTTTTTACATTTCGATTTTATGATCGTGGTGAGAGAATATTCTAATAACGATGAAATTATGTTATAAATGAACATTTAACAAAAATACTTTTTACATTTCCTGAAACATGATTATTGAAACGATAGAGGATAGTCGAGAAGTCGTGTATCGTTCGGTGAATCTTATATGGAAGGCAACTCATGGAAGGATTGTTTCAATTATTTTTGATCAAACTCAAACAATAAATGTAACATTTAATGATGGTGAAGTTCGAGCCATAAAGATTGATGCCCCGGGTGCAGTTCTTATGAAAGAGGATGTTTTTCTTCGTTTATCGAGAGAACTTACCATTTCAAATAAAGATAATCCTATATACATTGATGATGATACCACATCAGCTGAGGATGAACTTGTCGATGATATTTATATATGGTTTTATATTTTTGATATTAAAGTTTTTATGTTTTTGATATTAAAGTATTTAGCGATTTTTATTCTGATAGAATTGTTAAATTACTGGTGCTGATCAGATAAAAGATATTAATCAACCTCAAGTAGAGGAAATTGTGCCATCGACTGGTGTCGATCAAGATAATCAACCTCGGGAGAAGGAAACCGTGCCATTGACTGGTGTTGATCAGGATAATCAACCTCAAGGGGAGGAAATTGTGCCATTGACTGGTGTCGATCAAGATAATCAACCTCAAGGGGAGGAAATTGTGCCATTAACTGGTGTTGATCGAGATAATCAACCTCGGGATAAGGAAACTGTGCCATCGACTGGTGTCGATCGAGATAATCAACCTCAAGAAAAGGAAATTGTGCCATCGACTGGTGTCGATCAGAGTAATCAATCTGGGGATAAGGAAACTGTGTCATCAGTACAATCTCAAGATGATGAAACTTCATCATCGGCGAGTGTGGATCAGAGTTATCAACTTCGGAGGAGAAATCCCCCT